TATCATCTAGAGTCACTTTTCTTTTGCTTTTCAAGATTTACAAAATCCCCGTAAAATATCTCCACTTACGAGAGAGATCCTCCTTAAATTCCCTTTTATATATTTCTCACAGAAACGGAAAATCCGCCTTGTAAAATAGCTCTTACGGATTACGGACGGACTTAAGGCACAAGTCCTCTGAATTTGAAACGCGAATTAAGTCGCGTGTGTTTCCTCCCTCACATTTAATTCCTTATATCTTTCGTGAGGAAACAAGGAACGCGAATGCGAAGATTCCTTGTCCTGCTGCCTCCTCGAACGTGTATGATTTCGTGGGTTACGTCTTCGCAAACGGGTGCATCTCGTTTGATCGTCACGTCATTGCCGGGAGAACGCCGGCTCTTCGGTTGTACGAAATTAAACGCTCATTCCATTTACCCTCGCAGGAAATATCGATCGTAGACACCCTACACGGGCATGCACCGCTGAGCTGATGCACGCACGATATCTCGCGTTCGAGCGAATCGATCGTCCGCGCAGGAATCTTTCCACTATGCAATTTTCCACTGGGTGCATTAGGTCAGTGTTCTTAAGCGAATTTCTCGTCTTATATAAACGTCGATAATATTTAATGTCGGAAACCTGTTAAAATATTCAAAAGATCGATTTGTTTTCCGACTAATATTAATTTTTGCTTATAAGGATGTAATATTAAAAATGTGCTCAAGTATTCTGACATTCTGTGTTCTCAAAGGGATTTAGTCGATAGATTTGATTTTCTCAAAACTTGTTAAAATTGATCGTCTTTGTGTTTTGTATTTACCGATATAATGCTCACAGTGCAATTTGTTGACTGCGAAACTCGATTACCTACGAAGACATGGTTGTCAATTTTCGCCGTGTCTTTGAATCAGAATCTTATTTGTCTTGTCTTATTTGTCGAAGGTGTTCTCTATGCAGCGTAAGCATAGAAACAAACAGTCACATTTTGCTGATACTGCATTGCTATTACGGATGCAATATCACTGAATTAAGTAAATATGTTGTACATTTGCGCGCAATTTCCGTACCGAGGTAGTGTAGTTTCCGTATCAATATGGTGCATACGAAGTTGGGTGAAGAGTGACGCAGGTCTTTCCTGTAATTTACGAGCGCTGCGTATACCACAATTACAATAAGATGTATGGATGATTCACAGATTGCAGGATTTTGTCAATGTTACTATTTTTATTGCTTTAAGGTTCGATCTTGGAGATAATTTAAATGAGCATTAAGTGGACCATTATGTAACATTATTAAACTCGTCAAGCGCACTTTCCGCGTAATTATTCATGAAAATTAAATTTTGTTTCACACGTAATGTGGTTGTCAAAATGTGAGAGAGTTTAGAGAATCGCGCGCAAAAGCGAGGCAACTTGCGCAAATTTCATTTTCACTCGACTGTATGTAAGCTACTCGAGAAATCCCTCGTGTCGTTTCGAAATACCGCATCGTAGGAAAAGGAAATAAAAGACAGTATTGAGAATTTATTTTGAGTCATCAATTTTTCTAGAAATTTTTATAAAAGAAATAAATCTTAGGCCCCTTTGAAAATAAAATGGCTATGTGATTGAGCCAATAAAACATTCACTACACTTCAAGACTTTTTTTTTCGGGGAAAAATATTTTATATATAATACAAAATATTATAAAAATAATTTAATAATCACAACGAAGCATTCTAATTAATAATTTGATTTTTAAATAAATCGTGTTACTTAAAGTAATAGAATATTTAAATAAAATTATTAGGTATATAACGCGGAAAAAAAAGATTAATTGCAGCAGCAAAAATTTGCGTGTGGTAGCTAAATTCCAGTCGTAACATATGGATACCTAACGTTGTATTTGCGAGATCTAATTTCCATTAGCTGTGAGGCCCAAATATTATCATTGTAACAGATAAGCATTTTGCTATTATGTCTATCTATTAATCATTGCAGCAAACGTGTTTTGTGTAGTAGACAATTTGGGAGCAAATTCAGTTTCAGCAAACCATATTTAGTTGTGGCAGAGACAATTTTCTTTTACACAGACATATCCGATAACTATGGCAACTAACTTTATGCTGCTAAATAAATTGATCTGTAACAGACATGCATACTTTACTATCACGTCCTTATATTAACTACAGCAACAAATTCTTTGTATGTATTAGCAAATTTTATAGCTAATGCAATTTCAGCTAATCAGAATTAGCTGTAGCCAGCAACATTTTTTTTCCGTGAAATATTAAACAACAGTCTCTTGTAAAATTTACTTTATTTGCATCTGCTGAAATATATCGAATTAAAATTTTATCACGAGAATCTTTGTATTTCATGACACAGAAATATACTTATAGAAATGTCTTCAAGATAACAATCGATCGCAGTTGCTGCCAGGTTACGATGACGAGTGTTGCAAATCGACGAATGATGAATATTAATTAAATTAAATTCGAGTACTACAGGCGTTAATTAATTCGTAAGCTGTCGCGTGTACTGAAAAGTTTGATAGCTTTTCACGATTAATTACACACTGTTCTGCTGCAAAATGCATTAACGTCGACTCATCGTCGTGTACATCTCTATAAAATCGCAGTGCTCATGATTCTCGCTTCATACGATAATAAAACGTATCAATGTAAATTTGACAGAAGCTTGATTTATCTAGAAGTCTTCCACGTATAAATACATTATTATTTCATGTCTCTAATATAATCAATACATGCTTAATCAATTTCTTCATCGTTGGGTTAATTAAAGCGCAGATTTAAATAATCTTTTAAGCCCCTTGCGTCACGAGAAAATTATTTATAGCTGCAAAAAAAGTCGATAAGACGTATTTCTCGATTTTCTTCTCAATTGCGATGTATATTTTTCAAAGATAGTCATAGTCCACGGAGACTGTATATACGCTAAACGAATCAGTGGGCATAATCAAATTGGAGCGTGTTACGTGTCAGGATTAGTTCTGATCCTATGGCTTCCACGATTATGAAGCATGGAGAACGACGAATCTTCTAATTTTTATAGTTTATTATTCTTTTACAACATGCATAAGGAGAATATTTATAAAAATTGACAAATATTTTTCAGAACAGAATATATAGTTTGTTATGTGTTAAAGAATTCTCTCTTCTAAAAATAAATATCAATGAAAAAAATCATCTGATGAGGTATTGTAATGTGGATTGTATTGTGTTCAATTATTGATGTGTATTCACCAGTTAAATGCGAATGACCTGTTATACTTGTCAAATAATATATGCATAATGTAATTATGCATATGCCGCGCACGCAAAAATAGCACGATAGCCTTATACATAGATATAAATTATTTTAAATATATATCATATCGTCAGGAGCTATTATTACAGCTTGTTATTATTATAATATTATTGCTAAACGGGTTAATATCAAGCTAACACAGAATGGATTAAATTAATATCTAGACTAAAAATCAAATCAGCCTAATACTTCCCACGCGAGTAAAACCGTGACCTAAAAGATAGTTTACATTAAATACAGTTAGTTTATGTTAAATATATATATTATAAAGAGAGGGAGAAAATTTATATTAAATATATTGTACTTACTACAAGATGCATTTTGATAGAAAAGGCTCTTTACAAAGGGATACATTGATGCTAAAGTATTTCTTCTTCAATGATAGCGAACATAGAAGAATCTTTTTGGTATTTTCTGCTTTCAGAGCGCAGCGGGTGCAGTAAGCGCCCGAGCAGAAGGTACGTAGACCATGCCAGGGCCAGGGGCGGAGTGGTGACCTAGACCTCATCCCGGCTCCGACCCTCGATGCTTACGCTACGGCTGGTGTCGACTCACTTCCTGAAGCAGCCATAGGCAGTGCCCTTTGCCTTAGAGAAAGGGCTCGATGCGATGTGCCGTGATAGGGACATGAACCCAGAACTACTAGTCGAGTCGCACGATCTCCGTTCAACGGCGTTACCGTCGCCGTCGCCGTCGTTGTAAGAAAAACGAAAAAATATACATATACGGTCGTTCAAAATTTTCTCACGCAAGAAGGACTTTTCTTCTTCGACGAACCTTCTATCTCTCTCTCTCTCTCTCTTTCTCTCTCTCTCTCTGCTGCGAGAGTTTCGCATATATACATACACACATATACACCACACTCATCCCCACGAGTCGTTCCTTGCTCTTCCAACCACGAAAACGAACAAGAACGACTCCTCTTTTTTCCTTATTTTGAGATAAATTAAAATCCCGACGTAACGGGCCATTTTCAAGCGAGGAAGTGTTTACACGGTCTCGCGTTCGGTACTCGGTACTCGCGGTATTCGACATAAATCCGTGATCCCAGTCGCCGGAACTGGCCGGATCGAAGGAGCACGATCATAACCCGGAAGAGACGTTGTCAGTACATACTCACGGCGAACCTAGACGAAGGGAAGAAAGGAGGGAGGAGCAGGACGAGACAGCTGTCACGCTGAGCTCAGTGTACTTCAACCTGTGGAGGATCGCGAAAGAGTGCATTGTAAGTGTTTCTCTTTAATATCTTAACTTAGTTTACTTGTTTAAGATGTTTGATAAAAGCGATATAAATAATGAAATATATATTGTATTATTGTCTATATAGTTAATTAATTCTTTTAATTAGTCGACTATTGACCAGTGTACAAATCAATGAAGCAAATGTGATTTTAATCAAATTAAATATACAAAACTCCTAATCTTATTTTTTATTAGTTTTATTACTAATTTATTTAATCTATTGAGACGTTACAAAATTTGATATTTATTTTAAATATGATATAAAATATGAAGTATTAAATATTAGAGTTAGTCTTTTTATCAAACTCGTGAAAGATGTTCAATGGTATATTTAAAATGATTAAAGTACGATAGCTCAGTTTTATGGAACTGTTTTACAAAAATATCTTTGTTTTATTAATTAGTAGTTTTTACAACGTCTCTACAGAAATAATAAAATATGATGTTTCGTGTCTTTATCAAAGAATTCTATATATAGTATATATGTTTTGCATTGGTTTTCTGATGGCAAACATTCAAAATGTGTGGCGCGGTTAAAAACCGACACTACAGTAATTTTCCATTTTGCGTCACAAATTCGATATGTAGGCGATTAATGGATTAAAAGCCACACATTTATGTCGCGCGCACGCAAGAGCCTCTATGCGTCTCTGCCTCTCTTCGGTTACGTAATCATGAAATTTTGGCACAATTTTGGTACATGAGTAATCCTCCGTTTCACGTGAAATTTCCTCATCTCAGTCGCGCGCGAGCATCATCAGCGATCATTAACCGTTTCGTAATCGCCCTTCGAAACTGCGCATCTTTCTCTCACGCAAAAAAGGATGACAAGGTAAATTGATCGAACGCGGTTATCGGTTATCGGTGCAACGGTCGGCGGGTTATTTTCGATAACATACTTTGTATCGCTGGAAATTACGTCGCAGAAAAATGTATCTATTTAAGAGAGCCGGCAATTGTCAAGGACTTTCGATGAATAATTTCTTTAGACTTTGCAAACTGAAATATAATACGCTCCGAAGGAATCGCGTTATAAATAAAACACTTTACAATAATAATTAAAGAAAAGTAGAACATTCTAATGAAAGGAAAAAAATTATCAATTAAAGGAGGAGAATTATCATTTCTCTTTAACACAAGTATTAAAAAGATATTATATTTAAAAAAAGAAGATGTATACTAAGAATAATTAATAGATAAGTATTTATTACGAAAATATTCGTTACGATGTAATAATTAGTTACTTATTTTTATGATAGCGAAAGTTATTGATAAAGGAATAAAGACGATAACATTTACGATTCATCGATCTATTTAAGTGGAGCTTTTCCTGTGTTATGAAATGTGCATTTCTCGTCACGCGCTTATCGATCGCGTGCTTGCGAAAATATTGAAATTACCCCCACGATTGTTCCGCCAATGTCGGTGCACTGACGTGCTGTGTTCCTCAGTACGATGGTGCACGGCAGTTATCACGCATTAGGTTGATATGAAGCATACTAATCTAAAAAAGGATCAGTAATTTTTTTCATCATTTTTACAATCCGCTTTTACTTCTGAAAAAGATTTGTATTTTAATTTATTTTAATTTATATTCATTATTCTTCGATATGCAAACAATTGGTATTAAATTTTTCGACATTACATCATTTGAAATTTTCTATATAAAATTAGACCTCTGTATCATGTAAAATATTCTTCATATGTTATGTTCGTTTTATGTATGTAAAATAGTCTTTGTATTTAGACAGAGTTTTCTACTTGATATTTCTGATCTAATTCGACCATGAATCTAAATCGCGATTGAGGACATAAGAATGAGAGTGAAAAACGAATCTTTGACCGTTGTTTTGCATGCCGTCGCATATTATGCGACTTACAAGTTTGCCCGTCGCTTTTGTTAGTGCGGCAGCGGGTCGCGGTGTAGACAAAGTGGGATGAGACGCCCTCAGCAAGAACATCTCCATCATCATCACCACCACCACCACCATCATCACCATCACCATGGATCCTCAACAAGCCCCACGTGTTCTCGTCAAACACACGATAAGGTAAGTGCTTTTCTTGGCATTTACTGCAATTTCATGTTTAATGAGAAGTCAGAACTTTCCTTCCCCAATGTTTTTTTTATAATTATTAGTCGTTTTGATAAACATCTGATGCGCCCAGAAGATATTACAAGTGCATATGTATTTCAATATATGTATATTTTGCGAAATTGTGTATTTCTTAATATGAATAATAATGACATAATTATTTTTTATTCGATAAACTTGCGTTTTTTTTCAGTCTTCGTGTTTTATCGTTTTATGTTTGTTATTTTAAAACGATTAGAAGAACTGCTGCGTAAAGTTTCTATAGTGGTTACTGCAGTCTTAATAAATAAACAATGACACATAGCAGTTTCTATATTCGAGATACGGCTATAGAAACTTTCCGGTCCTTTTACTGCATTGAACGAGAATGCGGAGTCTATATCTATTCGTTACTCCACTTTGTCGAGGTACTCCTTTTCAACAGTTAGCGACCGTTCGCCGATTATATGCTTTCTCGTTCCCTGTCACTTTACTAATCATTTATACGACCCGTATAAATGTCTTGCGAATGTCGGAAATATCAATTATCGCTCGATACTTGATGTAGAGGATGTAAAGTCCATGCAAAGTGGATGTAAAATGGCATTTGAATGAGTTAAGAAAAAATAAACATAGAGAGCAAAATGTACTCTATCAGAGAATTTTATATAGATATAGACTTTACCTAGAACGAAATTAATTGAATTGTAACGCGCAACTGCACAATATTGTATTATGTTTAATTATTAAGTATCGTATAATTGTATCTATGACATAAAATATAAATGACATTGTAATTAAATAACAATTATTTAATAAATGCGCAAGACCTAAGCGACCTATGAAACGTCGCTTGTTTCAGGACGAGTCTCGTCTCGCTCGCGTAAAGCGCGTCCTGGCGGGTTCGCTGTTGGGCCGCGGTGCTGGCTCCAGCAGGATCTTCGGCACCCGGCTGGAGCTAGTCGAGTCCTATCTCGACACAGGTGTACCGTACGTGGTGCACCGGTTATGCAGCTACATCGAGGTGCATGGCTTTCAGAGCGCGGCGGTATTTCGCCTATCAGGCGGCAGTCCTCGGCTTGCAGAGCGACTGAGGGCGGCCTTCGAGCGGCGGGGTGACGCCGATCTAGAGGCAGCCGGGTGCCCACCGACTGCCGCGACCCTTCTCCGTCAATATCTGAAGGAATTGCCGCAGCCGGTCGTACCATCCACCCTCGTCGGCAGACTGCTCAACATTCACACTCGTGAGAATCCATAATCCTACCAATTTCACAAAATAATTCAGGATCCGAGAACGAGAAACTCCATTGGCAATGAGACGTCTATTCCGGGATACCTCACGTACAAATGTGGTTTTAGTCTTAAAAATTTTAATTTCCACTTAAAAATTTAAATTACTACAGAATGTTTTAGTATTAAAGGGAAACTTTGCTATACAGCCTTACCACAATTCTGATTGAATTTCGTCACTTTTGTGTGACGCTTGATAAAATCAACAATAAAAATATCTGTTCAGTGTCTGTTCGTCATTGATACACTGAACAAAAAATCTTAATTTCAAAAAAATATTTCTTTGCTCGTAGATTAAAAAAAAATTATTTCTTTGGATCAATGAAAATTTCTTTGAAAATAAGATATTGTACAATTTTAATTTCTCGACTTAATTTGTGGACATAATCTTTTTAATACTTTTGAACAATTTATTTTAACTATTTATTCTGTACTCTTAGTTTTATTCACTTTAACTATTCTTCGAACTATTGTTTGTACAATTTTTTAATGTGCATATTATCGACATTGTGCAACGCAAAAGAATTGTATATCCAGAAAGTGGCTCTGTGTGATTTTTCAACCGTTTATGAACAGTTTTTGTTATTCACTTTGGTCTAATTGACTTATGCATGGAAGAATTTTCTCACCATTACTGCGTTTTTAGATATCTGAAGATGGCTCGATCTCGTAACGGAAATATGTAATATTGATCGCGATATTTAACGTAACTATCGATAATTTTATTAAATCTTTTATTTCTCACACAAATCCTGCGGTCTGTCTTTTTTTTATTCTTTTTGTTATCATTAAAACTATTTGTCACAGAGAGCTATGCGAACGATCACGACTCGTGGATCGCTTCGACGAAGGAGCTGCTGTCGACTCTGCCATCCTCGCATTATCATCTGCTTGGCTACCTGACGATTTACCTTAGTCGCTACGAGGCACGACACGGACGCAGCGCCGGAGTCTGCGGTGTTTTTGCACCCGTCATTCTGCCTCACGTTCCGCCTGCGACTACCCTCCTGCGGGATATCCTCGCCGAGGCACCAGTGCTCTTTCCCGACTGGTGAGTGACATATGATGATTCTCTTAGCATAATGTTTCGGAAGTCTCGCAAAATAACGTTCCTCACGCGAGGAACTTACGTATTTCACTAGCGGCGGAAACGAGCGGTATGTCTATTCTGTCTCATGCATTTGCATTTCTTATTTTAGAATCATTAAGACTATGCACAATATATTTTGTAAAACATGAAAAAGTAACTCTTAAAGAGAAAATAATTTATGGTTGATACACGTTACGCAATAACAAAAAATATCGAATATTTTGTATATAAATCGAATGTTTTAAAAATATAAACGTCGGATCGAGTTTTACACTTTTTTATGAAACATTATTTTCCTATCAAATTCTAATCTTTTGACAGACTTGCCTAGTTTTGTATTAATGTAAAAGAAAATTTTAAGGAAATATGCGTAATTTTTACATAAGAAAAGCTTATGTAAAATACAGTAAAGTTTATTTGCGTCAAATTGGTAATTTTGCGAGCGTTCTTGAAATCGTGAAAAAACCTTGTTAGCACAAAATCACGATAAAGTGCGGCTAACTACATTCGCGTACCTAACTTTATGGTCCGTTCATGCACCGTTGCACGTGCTGATCAATATCCTTCGGTCGGTTGCTCGTCTTTTTTTGTGAATAAAATAAAGGGACTTATCAGCGTGAGATCTCACATGACTTTTTATTTACGCGATAAAAAGCGGAAAGATTAAATTGTCAGATTCTTTTATAAAAAAAATGTACAAGCGTATTACGTCAGAATATAACAATAGAATCAATCATACGTTTCTCATTTAACAGATCAGAATTCATATTCCGATATTTGTTTGCTTGTAAAATAAATGTTTTTAATTCTTTTTATTACCTCGAAATTTTCAAAAATGAAAATATTTGAATATTTATTATATGAAACGTAATACAATTTTATTGAGCTTAATTACACATGTATTTATTCTGGCTCTAAGAATTTTTTTTTAATTCTTAATTTCAAGCATTTTTAACCTCAATTAAAGGAATTTTAATGAGAAACAGTGAAATAAAATTTGAAATAAATTTATTATGATAATTAGTACGAAAATTTAATTTAATTTATTACAATACATAATAGCATGGAATATTCTACGTAACTTTTTAGTATTTCATCAACGAGATTTGCCACAATTTACGATTACTCAACATTCGTCCGAACCGAATAAATTGACCAAAGTACAATGACTCTGTTTACTAATCTGAAAATCCGATCTGGTCGCCGCGTCGTGTATTAATCGTGCTGTGAATTACGCAAGAGCAACACATTTGAATGCGTCGGTCCGTCGACGTTGCTGCAAGATAAATTATAAAGCACACTCTGCGGAAAGCACGGCGCAACCGCGTCGAGCTTGTGCGCGTAACTCTCTTAACGTATATTCGTGTTTCGATTTTCTTGCCGCACTGTCTGATCGTTTCACGATATTGCTCACATTTCCAACGTTTATTCCCTTTAGCCCGCGGCTGAAGTATCTATATTATTTCGATAAACTGTTCCTCTCTTCGAAATCACAAACGAAGCAGAATTTCCGCGGACGTCTGCTTCTCGACAGCCGGTTGTCTAATTGGACTCTTCTACTTATACTCGAGAAATTCTCTCCCTCGACTAAGGGCCGATAGCTAGATATTATTTTCTAACCCGGAGCATTCCGCTTGTTCCTCCATCACGATTACATCTCGACCGCTTAGACAAGTCTCAATGAAGAGTTCAAGTGTACTTATAATTTCTTGTTTTTCGTATATCCTCAGCAGACGCAGATTACATAAGAATGAAAGAGAAAAAATAAGTGCTTGCTATTAAACTAAAGTTCATACTTTAATGTTTTTTTTTTTTTTTTAAAATATTCTTTGTTAAGGTTAACTGACTGGTGTTTATAATCGTGACGTCATACACTGCTAAATTTATTATGTCAAATTACATCCAATTTAAGTTATTTTTAATCATAGGTATCTATACTAATCTATGAGTCGCCACTATTTCTATCTAGTGGTTATGTCGTCAATTTGACTGAAATAATAAGGTTAAACAATTTAAACTCAAGAAACTGTATTCAATTTGATTTAAATTTAGTTCATTATTTACTAACAAGTGCATAATATGGACGATGTTTACTTTGAAACTTATAAACTACAGAAATAGATTGATTTACATTTTTGATATAGATGGAAATTAAAAATAACAAAATATTATTTACCTCAGGAGATTGCGCTACCATTGCTTCCTTGATATTTAACAGTGTAAGCGAGAAATGACATGTTGAAGTTTCTCTTATGACGTCACAATTCTTATATCCGCTCGCGGCGACTAATCATCAGAAGCCTTAAACGGAAACCAATTATGATTAGATTATGTTGAGATAAGATAAATAAAAGAGAAATATGCAAATATACATATTTATAATTATAAGTAACCGTTATCGCGCTGCGTCTTGTATACTAAATTTATAGATTCAATTTGATTCCTGCGCACGTATGCGAAAAAACTCTGTATTTCTCGTGTGGATATGAAGGGCTTCTCTCTCGACTTCACGTACAAACAGTACGATTTCATCGCGCGTAAAAGCTACCGAATCACGCAAAAAGCATGTTAAGTAGCATCGATAATTCGGATCACGGCGGAAAGCGGCATGAAATTGGTAATGCGGGTGGGCATCTATTTCTTGTGCATTTGGAATTATATTTATATAGAATTCCAACGCCTGTATTTTTTCTTCTATTTATTGTAACTGATTAACGATCTGTATAGAAACTAACGATTTGGTGAAATAGAAATAAAAATAAAAATGGATGTTTAAATAATATAATAAATGTAGACAATATACATACATTTTTTAATACTTATTTTAACTGTAAATATTGAAACGACTAACGATATCAAAATTTCTCATTTAGGTGAAACCCTCCACTGGTTTTACTCAAATTCGACGCACATATACTTCGATGAAAATAAAATATATATTATAGATCTATTTTGATAGCTGAAAACTAGAGCCGAACACTTTTTGCGCTTAAAAAGTATATTTTATATTTAGCAAGAGCGAAAAGGAAAGTTTTAGTGCAGTCCAGTGCAGCAACAAAAAATAAACCTAAAATTAGCTTGAATTATTTTCGCGTGTGTCTATTTTTTTTATTTCAAGCGCTGGCGAATTAATTTTTAAATAAGTGAAAGTCACAGAAATGCATTAGCAAATTGCGTCGGATTGTACAGACGTAAGTGGGAAACGCGCTTGAGAATACATTCGCGACCTTCTACGCGATTAATTTTGTCGTTACATATCTCACCGTCATTGAGACGTTTGAGACATGTTGATACAAAATTGCGATCCTTGGCCTTGTTGCGCGTCATTGACGCGGGCGTACTTGAATGCACGCTCGATATATTTCCTTTCCTCCCACATAGCAGCTTTTTTCCACGAATGTTTCAGTTTCTTACTTGCATTAACTTTAATGTAGTTGCACCCACCTTTTTAATACATGTCGCGCTGCATTTCCTCAAAAAGAATTTTTATCTCAGTAATGAATCTTCGCTATATGCAATTTAAATGTTTTAGAATTCGACATTGAAAATTAATAGAAATACAGTGTCTGTTAGCACGGCATTTTATTAATTTCAAAAAAATAATGATTGTTCCGGTAGCACTTTCCATTGTTCCATTGTTCTTGGATATCTATTAGCTGTCTATTATATGATAATATTGATTGTACTAATATTCTAAGTTAGAAATTATCGACTCTATGATTATATTAAGAAATTCATCGCTATGATTTATTATCTATAATCGCTACCTGAAAAATCTGAAAAAAATATTTTTACACAAATTTTTAGATACAGAGTACTGTGTTGAGCTTTTATAATTTGATAATAATCTGATAGTACATATTAAGTATTGAATTTTCTCTAACAACTGCATTTTTCTGCGTATTGAAAATATCGAGAACGACGTAAAATTATTTGTTGCTATTAATAAATTTTTACGCAAAAAAGTTCTTGGTATAAAGGGACAGTGCGTGATTGGTTTAATATTGATGATAGAGAGAGTATCAAAGCGTTTCGTAATATATTAGGTAATGTCAATTTTTTGACCGAACGTCTATTCTTAATTCTTATTAATATTTTATCTCGTTATTATTAGTACTTCAAAGACTTTCGTTCTGTTCGAGAGTATAAGATACAAAATTTTAGATGAAATAAAATAGAGAGAAGATAATAAATTATTATAGATAAATAATCTAAATAAATAAATTAATAGTTAAAATAATATAATCATAGAGACTATAGATAATAATATACAGTAGCTACATATGCAATATGTACGTTCTCATTGCATACGTTATGCACGTTTTCTTTCTCATCCGACTTTCATATGTAAGAGATTGTAACACCGATTTTTATTAACTAAGTAACTTGCAAGATTGATAATGGTATTCAGCTTCTTGCGCTTAAAGCGACGCATTTAGAATCCCTTGTAGTTAGATGAAACTGTAAGCGAGCGATTAATCTTAGCTCGTAAAATACTTAAACGTGTCGTGCAGTAGAAAAAAGATCGCCACTTTACTCACATGAACGACACGTAAAAAGACCGCTAAAGCATGATAATAAATATTTTTAAGAGGGGACAGTGCTCTCCCGGTAAAAAAAATCAGCATCCAAGATTGATCGCGCTTCTCGAGACCATCACGCGAGATTGGCGAACTATACCGCGCGCTTCATCAGACACAATAGACTATGATAGGCATGTGGAACAATGTTGTAACCGTTCAAGGTATCGTTCTACGATCAATGGGTCGTTAGTCTTACTAATGACTCAAGGAATTATTCAAATGACTGTAATCGTATCGTCGATGAATATTAAACTTTGGTATAGTATTTATTAATCTCATCTTATGATTTAAAATGTTTAATTACTTTGTGTGTTCTTTTGTACTGGCACATGCTAGCGTATTAAGAAAACGATAAATTAATGGGTCAATTCTAAACAG